ACAGAAACCAATCTTACAAAAGTCCCCCCCCCCCCCCCTCCGTCTCCATGCTGTGTTGTCATTTCCTGTTCTTTTCCATCTGTAGAGCTGTCTGTTAATTGTCTGTCATTAGGAGATTTAATCAGAGACGACTAAAGACTCCGATCAGATCAGACTCCACGGAAACTCACTAAGCAACGTAGACCAGGCCATAACAACAGTCCACATTTAAGGCTGAACTGTTTTTACGACGATCAGGTCTCAGATGATCTGGACCCCGACCGTGGTCAATGTTTTCGTTGGCGTTGGACTCGTTATGACTCAGCATATACGTGTTTCTCTGTGTGTGACCATTGTTTTTGGAACAGATTTATAAACGTGTGACGGTGTTTGAGAAGCTTTAAAGACTAAACTGTCTATCATTTTTTTAAATGATAGTGAAAAATGTGATTACATGTCTTTTATCGAGCTGTTTACATTGCAAGTTTTACTAGCGGTGGTTTGGTATTTCTAGTTAATAGGATCAACTTAAGTTATTATGTACAGCTGGGATATGAAGACTCATTATGGCAATATTGTTTTTTGCTGCTAATTGAAGTTGATTCTTGTATTTTTGGGTCATAAATATTTGTAAACTGACTCGACATGGAGGATGGTTGAAGTAATGGATGTATATGCAGGTGTTTTGGAAACTGCGCAAGCACCAAGATCTCCCTCCATCCCTCCACACCCTCCACACCCCTGCCATAGATACCTCACCCTCCTCCTCCCTGGTCCACAGTGATTCTGACGCATCAACACAACCAGACTCTAGTGTTTCCACAACATCACACTCCTCTGTTTACTGCTACAGACTTCAAACTAAAGCTTCACCTGCAGACACTATCCTCCATTTTGTTAGATCCCGTCCAGGGACCGTTCAGCAGCCATTTCTCACACCGCAGTGACGCTGCCGGGGGTTAATGCAGGACACAGAAACACATCCATCCAAACACACGCTGCTTTAAACTCTGCCAGTGTCGTACAGTCATGACACGCCACTTCCCAAAATGCCCTTCAAACGCATCCTTTAACTCGCGGCTATCATTCAGTTTCATTCAATTTATTAAATTACATTTAAACGTCAAACACTCAATTTAATCTCTTTGCATCCGAACTCCAAACTTATATTTTTTTTTAAGCAGGCATCTAAAACCAATGCAGTCGTACATTGAAATCATCCGTCTCTCTAATATAGAACACCAGTCACCGCGGCTGCCGCAGTGCGCTTTCAGGCATCAACGGCAGAGGGAAACAACACAGCAACTATTGCCTGGAGACGAAACGACAGCAACTGTGGTCTGAAAGACTCGATAACAATGACAAGGCTTCGCCATGTTCGATCAGCTGGTCGCTGCCTGACGCCAGGATGCGCATTAACGACAGCAGCGTCTGTTCGCTTTCATACAGCAGTAAAACAAAATCAAACTTATTCCCGTTACTCAAAGCTGCACCGATTCGAACTCCTGATGTCGTTAACGCGTCCAACGGAGAGGATTTCTCCCCGTGTTTTCATTCTGACTGCGTCGTACCTGAGACGTGCCCGGTGTTAGGTTCGGCTGCAGGACCGTGGAGGCTGAGGAGAGACTCTGGTGATCCGGTTTTAGCGCAGACGCAGGAGGGTACAGATCCCGACAGGCGGGGCTGTTGCGTAATTGCGCGCAAATGCTGATGCTGCTGCTTATGCTGTGCTGCTGCTGCACACTGACACAACAAAAAGTGCACACGAATTGTTCTTCATTTAGTATATCTAAAATATTTATACATTTAAGCATATAAAATGAAATAAAATAGTTTTTTTAAGCAACACGGATAGCATAAAATAAATGTGTGTTTGCGCACTGACACGAGAAAGAAAGCTGCAGGATTGACTTAAAACGACATTTCCCCCTTTTCTGTTACCTTTTTAATTATTATTTTCCTGTCAAACTCAGTGACTTGTCTCCAGTTGATGGAACTGATTTTCTACACCTTGATTTTGTATCCTTTTATCTTCTGAAGTGAAGTGAAGTGAAGTACAGCAGGTCCAACCTTTGAAGTCCTCCTACGACTGAATTTTTAAAACAGACTTCTGCTCAGTTTTCACAGAAATGCACATTTGTTATTTTTTATGTACAAATAAATCAGACGTTGTAGGATTAAAAATGAAAAGTATAGTAACAATAATAATATACAAATAAAAGTATGTCGTGAGAGAAGGTAAAAAAACCCCAACCTAAATATCACCAGGAAGTAGAGAAGAATCCTAACTGTCACGAAACATTCAAAGTTGTACAGAATTTTGCAAAAAGAGCAGATGTTTGTATTTTTAAATGAATAAACCACATCATGTAGTACTTAATCCACAAGGTAGGGGGCACAAAAACACAAGTTTTCCCTCAGGTCAAAACAATAGGAAGACAGTAGAGAGTAAAAACACAAGTTTGCCCTCAGGTCAAAACAATAGGAAGATAGTAGAGAGGAGTTGTTTCTGTATTTAATCATCTGTTATTTGTATTTTGACTTATTTCACTGAACAACCAAATATTTACATTAAATTTAGCAAAACTAAAAACTAACCTGAGGATCTGGGCTGACGCAGGTCTTGTTGTTCAGTTGGGATGTAAACTGTCACCTCACTTCTGTTGAAGTTCTGTTGAACAGTTTTTATACGTCTCAACTTGTTTTCTTTTTCCTTTATGATGTCATTTGTCCATTCATCCTTTTATCTTTTATTCACAGGTATTGTTTGACTCAGTGTGGACTTTAGTTTCCCGAAACATGTTTGAGGAGCTTAGTTTGCCAGGAAAACTAAAAACCTAACTAAGAAATTGAACATGGTTAAACAGCTCCCACCTCGAATTATTATCACATATTTTGTACATAGCTGTGAGAAAATAAATCAGTTGAATTCATAAATAAAAATATACTTTAGTAATACACAGAACGTCCATTAATTCTTACAGAGGCCTCGATCTGGTCCTCGACCCTTAGTTTGAAACATGACATAGCATTTTGGACACAAAACAGGACACTTTTAAATTCAGAGTACGATTTAATGTGTTGTATCATAGTACTTGACAGTGAACAGAGAAGTCTCTGGAATGTTTCTTGTACAGTGTTCATCATCAACAATGTCCCGTCAACATCAGACTGAACCAAAATACAATCTTAAAAAATTAAAAAAATCATATGATCCCTTTAAACCAATGTCATAAGGCACAAGTGCATCTCCCTCCCTTCTCCAGTGGGGGGAGTGCTGTGACCCAGACAAAAATGTGTGCGTGAACTGAACATGTGATTTCTCCTACTGTACTAGAGTTCCCTGAAGGGAGCATATAAAATTAAAAAAAATATTATAAAAACAAATGGAATCAAAGAGAACATGTGTTGAACCACGTTTTACAGACAATAACTTTTTTTTTTGTTTTACAAAAAATACCTGAGAGTAGTCACAGTGACTCATCAGTTCAGGTCCAACGGAAATGTCTTTTAAAGCACAGTTTAATTTCCCTTTTTTGGTAAAGGCACCAAAGTTCTGGTGTCACAGATTAAAATGTCTAGAAACATGACTTGGATGACTTTTCTAAGATGATGAAGAGCAGAGTAGGAAACAAGCCTTTACTGCCACCTATGGGCGTTTTGGTGAAATTTCAGGAATGACTTTACAGTAACATATTTCAGTAATGTCTCTGTCTCTCTCCATCAGTTTGTCTCTGTCTGAGCTTCCTGTCCTCAGCAGAAGGAGTTGTGTGCGCTGCCGATGCCCTGCACCACCAGTTGTTTCTCAAACATTTCAACAGGTGTGTTGTTGTTTATGTTTATGAAGGATTTGAACGCCACAGCCCTGAGCTTCCACTAAACCCTGTCCCTGATTAAACCGTCCCTTTACTGCACTGTACAAAAAAAAAAAAAAATCAGCATTTACATTCATTTGCTGTTAAAGCACAAACCCAGGTTCTTTTAACATGAAACGGCATGAAACATGAAAGAGCTTAAAAATAACATTTAAGCAGATTAATATTAAGGCATGTTTTTGTGCAGTTACATTGATGCTCCTGAAGAGACAACGCTTCTAGGTTTAGGTTGATCTAAAAACAAAACTATAAAACACCAAGTGTGTGAAATCAACAGAGACTGAAGGCATCAGAGAACGGAACTGATGTGATGCAAAAACTGTAGTTAAAAACGTGATGAAATGCAGCAGATATACTGTAAGATGTTGGACAATTTGATGTGAAGTCGAATCATTCTAGTGAGAATTTGTCGTCTGAGGCTCATTTATGATGTCATCACGAGGTTTGGTTCGAACTGGACTAAGTTTAACACCTAGTACAGAACAACCTGACGGCATACTGTGATAATGTACGTTGTCTTGACGTATTCCTCCCTAACTGAAAGTGCACTTTGTTGTTTTTTTGTGTTTTTTTTTTTTTTTTTTTTTTTATTTCACTGGTGTCTTCAGTTGGTGACCTATGTCTTCAGTTGGTGACATATGCATTCCAGCGGCTCTTTCTGGCCCCCAGGTGCAAAACTGAAAGTTTTTCACAAGTGGGCCTCAGTGAGAGTAGTCGGTGTGGACAGCCCAGGGCTGGACCGTTCCTTCACCAAACATGACGTAGACCAACCCGCCCAGAACGTTGATGCTGGCAGCGATGTAGAAGACGCTCTGCCATTCCCCCAGGGTGTTCTGGAGGAACGAGGTTAGAAAACATGGATGGAAAAAACTCCATTAAAGCAAAGAACTCTGAACATACAATATTTTTGGACAAAGGTAGGTAAAGTAGGTAAAAAGAAAATGTTGTCTTTTCTATCTAAATTTTTAAGTAAAATCCTAATTTAGCCTGTAATTTCTGGTCAGATGATGAAAGATGATGTTGAAAATTTTGGGGTGGGGGAAATTCTGCGCATGTTTTATCATCAAATTTTTCTCATATTGTACACTGTACAAATTAGTGTTTTTTTTTTAAATGTTTATCTACTCCATCCACAGTATTTATATCTCTACACTACAGCATCTGTCTGTCTATCTATTCCTTTAATTAATTTCTTTATTCAAGTAGGTTTTTGTTTTTCTTACATTTACAGTGAGCGCTCTTCCAATGACTGGTCCCACCATACCAGGAATGGTGGCGAAGGTGTTGGTGATTCCCAGCAGGATGCCAGCGTATCTGGGAAGGAAGGAAGGATTGAGGAAACAGGTGAACATCAGGTTACTAACATTGAATCACTAGAGAAGAAAGAAAAGAAATATTGCAATATTTCATTGTATTGATATTTTCTTACTCCTCTAACAAATATATATACTAAAAAGTATGTAAAATAGTAATTAAAGGTGTATTTTCTCTGTTTATTTTCTAGAGGCATGAATGAACACAGTGAGTGGAAAAAAGCAGCAACTCTTACGACGGCGCGATGTCCAGGTGGGTG